TCCCTGAAATACCTGAAAGTATGCTGAAGTAGAATATTTCCATTCATTTGAATGTAGCAAGATTTTTCAGAATAAAACTAAATAGTCTAAAAATTATGAAGTTAAGAAAAATTCTGAACAGAAGCATGAAGGTCCTTTAGGAGCTGAATATTTTGATACCTGAAATACCCCTGAAAGTATGATGTAGAAATTGGGAATTCAGGAAAAAAAGCTGAATATTTAAAATGTATGAAGTTTTGAAAAGGTATGAATAGTAGTATGAATGTCCTTGAAGAGCTGAACATTTTGATAGCTGAAATAGCTGAAAGTTTGCTGAAGTAGAATTTTCCCATTCATTTGAATGGAGCAAGATTTTCAAAATAAAACTAAATGTTTCAAAAGTATGAAGCTTAAAAAACTTTTGAATAGAAGCATGAATGTCCTTGAAGAGCTGAACATTTGATAGCTGAAATTATGCTGAAGTTGAATTTTCCCATTCATTTGAATGGAGTAAAATTTTCAAAATAAAGCTAAATATTTAAAATGTGTGAAGTTTAGAAAATGTCTGAAGAAAAGCATGAATGTCCTTGAAGAGCTGAACATGTTGATACCTGAAATAGCTGAAAGTGTGCAGAAGTAAAAATTTCCCCATTCATTTGAATCGGACAAGATTTTCAAAATAAAACTAAATATTTCCGGGTTGCGAGCGAGAGCAGACGTGTCTATTGCTTCTCTGTCTGTTCTACGATATTTTCACTTCTGTCCTTTTCATATTGTCAAGGCTTTGAGCTTTGAGCAAAAATTCTACAACTACTACAACTACTGAGATGCCTCCAAAGGGAAAAAGAGCTAAAAAAATCCAAGCTGAACGATGGTGTTGAGGCGGAAGAGGACTCGTTTACAGCGGCGCAAGTTGCTGAGATGTTGGACCGGCAGTGCAGTATGCACACTGCGCTTATGGTCCAACTCAATGAGAGTTTCCAAGGCTTTGTGAAACTAATTATGGAGACTCATAACAAGAGATTCGACGACTTGATCAAGGAAATGCAGGAGATAAAGATGAGTTTGCAGTTTACCCAGCGAGAGGTGGATACGATTAAAGCGGACGTGGCGATGTATGACAAAGTTGACAGAGACACTTGTCAGGATATGAATAAACTGCGAGAGAATCTATTAACTCTCACGTATAGAATGGAAGAGATGGACGCGCAGTCCAAGCAAAAAAACCTGATCTTCGCAGGAATCATGGAGTCGGCTGGAGAGACCGTGACGGAAGCGGAGGACAAGGTGGCGGAGATATTAAAGGACAAACTGCAGATTCAGCAGGTTATTGAAATGGATCGGGTCTACAGAGTGGGGAATTTGACCGAACGGGGTCCAAGGGGGATCATGGTCAAGTTGAAGAACGAGAAAGACAAGATAACTATTCTGCAACGAGCCAGGAAGCTGAAGGGAACCAAGATTTACATCAATGAAGATTTCCCCGAGGGTGTGAGGAAGAGAAGACAGGCACTGATGCCGAGGTTGAAAGAGGCTAGGGCGAGAGGAGATATCGCGTTTCTGCGATACGATAAATTGGTGACCAGACCACGGAACCAAGACTTCGGACCAAGGAACAGCACGCCGAGTCAAGGACAGTATGATGGGGAGGCGGGACCCTCTCATGTCTGAAGAAGCTGACGGTCATCTGCATGGCAGATGAGCTGTGGAACCATCAACAACCAGCATGATTAATGGACGACATGAGGCCAGTGATTTACTGCAGAATTTAATAGATTTTGAGGGACGGGATCTGGAACTAAACACAATTGGAGACACTGAAATGCACTATCATGAAAC